TGGGGGAGCAGGGTGCCCTGAGAATAGGGCAAAGGCTTATTTCTTTCTCTAGAAGCCAAGCCTCAGGGCAGACCCCTGCCAACCTGAGGGACTGAGAGGAGGCTACAAGTCTTAGCAAGCCCATCCAAGCTGTGTGACCCTTGGGCAGGTGGCCTACTTCTGAGCCAGGGACATGCTTTGAACAAGGGATCTTTGGATCCCTTTGTCACTATGAACATAGTAAGTACCAGAGGTAGATATGAGTACTAGGCTCAGTGGGGTGTTGTTAAGTGAGTAATAACCATACTATTCAGGCAACTTGACCTCAGAGGCTTAGCTGGGGTTAACACCAAGGAGGACACACCCGTTGTGCCCAAGGATTTCAGGGCAGAGCTGCAGCTGCCCCTTATAGCAGCCACCAGTCATATGTGGCTATGAGGACTTGAAATGTGCCTAGTGTGATGGGGGAACTGAGTTTTTATTTGATTTAATATTTAATTATATTTGACTTAAATAAAAACTCAAAAACAGCTGGGCATGGCTGTAATCCCAGCACTTAGGAGGCTGAGGTAGGAGGATCACTGTGAGTTCAAGCCAGCCTGGGCTAAGTAGGGAGACCCTGTCTCAAAAACCAAATAAACAAAACAAGAAGCTCCCCCACTTCAGTTATGCATAAATACCTATGAATATACATAAATGTATATGATATATCTATATTTAGATTCATAAATATACTTTTTCAATTATAAAGGCTAAAAGAATCTAGATATTTGATGAAAAATTCAGCATCTGAATCAAGATGTGCTAGAAGATTTAGGCTGGGGAGATAGCTCAGCTGCATAAGTGCCTGCCTGGCAAGCTCACAGTCCTAAATTCAATCCCTAGTACCCGCCACCAAAAAAGAAAAGAAAAAAAAAAAAAAGATTTACTATGAAAAAAAAAGTGTAAGATGTCCAGATACTTTCTTTTCTTTTTGGTAGTACTAGGTATTGAACCCAGAACCCAAATGTTAGTCAAATACTGTACCACTGAGTTATCTCTTCAGTCTGTTTTTGAGTCAGGGTCCCCCTAGATTGTTCATTCTGACCTTAAAAATGTGATCTTCCCAGCTGGGGAGATGGCTCAGTAGAATAAGTGCTTTCCCCAACAAGCGCAAGTTCCTGAGTTCAATCCTCGGTTCTGAAAAAAAAAAAAAAAAAAAAGTCCTAGTACTACAAATAAATAAATAAAATTTTAAAAAAAGAATGTTCCTGGGTAAACAATATTTTTAATTTGATTATGTGTTGAAATTGATATATTGGGTGAAATATACTATTAAAATTAATTTCATCTATTCCTTTATTTTTTAAAGTGCCTATTGGAAAGTTTTAAATTACACATATGGCTTGCATTATATTTTTGTGTGTAAGATGGGGCTATGTTGCTCTGCCTAACCTTGAACTCCTGGGCTCAAGTAATCCTCCTGCCTCAATCTCTGGAGTAGCTGACACTATAGGTATGAACCTTGTATTATGTTTCTTTTTTTTTATTTTTATTTATTTATTTATTTATTTATTTATTTATTTATTTATTTGTGTGTGTGGCCAGCTCAGCCCACCAGGGGGCGGGGCTGGCTGGCATGTGGTGCTGGGGGATTGAACCGCGGTCCCTGTGCTTTGCTAAGCTTGTTCTAAGTAGGTGCTTTAGAACACTGAGCCATCTCACCAGCCCTATGTTTCTATTGGACAATGCTGTAGTAGACAGAAGTTGATGTGAACACACTTAAATAATAATATAAGATTATATAAAGCCTAGTTGCTTGAGGAGGCTTGGGGAGACACAGTAGGCCAGATATCTTACAACCCCTGTACCTCCGGTCCTGGGTCATGCCATGTGGTAGAATGTTATTCTGGATAACTCCATAGCCTCCAAGATGAGACAGCTTCTCCTGCTTCTCCTCCTGGCCGTCTCTCCTGTTCAGTGTGTGCCTCAGGCACTTTCCGCTGGGGAACCTTAGTCTATCTCTGACAGTGAGACTAATGGCGATTGAGGAGATTTCCTGGGACATCATGCAAGGGAAGCACTTAGCACCATACCTGGGATGTCTGAGCAGCCTTGTATTAATGGTGGTGGTGGTCACTGCTGCTACTGGTAGGACTGATGCTGCTACTGCTGCATCCACCAGATTGGATTCAGTTATGTCCTTGTTTGCTTGAGACGTGGGTCATAGAGAAAGAAGTTGAGAGTTTTTTTTTTTTCTAATTTTTTTTTTTATTTGAGAGTGAGAGAGACAGAGACAGAGAGAGACAGAGACAGAGAGAGACAGAGAGAGAGTGAGTGTGTGTGGTGTGTGTGTGTGGCCAGCTCAGCCCACCAGGGGGCAGGGCTGGCTGGCATGTGGTGCTGGGGGATCGAACCGCGGTCCCTGATGCTTTGCTAAGCTTGTTCTAAGTAGGTGCTTTAGACCACTGAGCCATCTCTCCAGCCCAAAGTTGAGAGTTTGAGGACAAACTGGGATGGGTTTGTGGGGGATGCTTTGACACCTTAAGGGATTGTCTGCCTTTGCAGTCCTCCTTAGATCTTCCCTCCCACCACTGATCAGCGAAGATAAGTCCTCTTTTTTATGATGAAGATGTGATGCGGAGGCCTGTCAGTGGGAAGTCACTTAGCTTTCTAGCCAGAAGATGAATGTAGGACTCCCCAGCCATGTTGTTGTGATTTAGGAGACAGTGTTAGGAGGCCACCATGGGAGGCGGTAGGCGCAGGGCCTGACCAGGAGATGCGCTTGTAACGATTGGTATTGTCAGTCTCCCATAACGGGAAGAGATCATGAACACCCTTCAGTACACACAGCACATTTAGTAACATTCTGGAGTTAAAAGAGACAGAGATGAGATGGGGGTGGTAGAAGAGAAGGTGAGTAGGAATGGGGACAGAGATAGAGACAGACAGACAGAATGAGAATGAATCACGTAACAAGATGGTGGCCAAGCTGGAGCTGCTTTTCCTTGTTTAGACCCAGCCTTCAGCTTAGCCCAGACAGGATGTGGGCCTGCTTGTCAGACCCCTCTTCTCTACTCAGTGCCCAGGGATACCTTCTAAGAAAGAGGCTTTTGTTTCACCAGCATCTTCGGTTTCCTCTCAAGGTAAACACAGACACACACACAGACAGACAGACAGACAGACAGACACACACACACACACACACACACACACACACACACCCTCATATCACCCCACTTTGCATTTGTCCCTGTTCTGGGTTTAAAAGGCCCTGGAAATCCGGAGCTTCTCCACACCCATGTACTTTCTGGTTTTCCCTGGAGAGACCACATGCTTCACCAAACATCTGGATTCAAATCTAGCTCCTACCATTAAGTTTTGACTGTGGTCAGGTTATTCCTATTTTTTTAGCCTAACTTCCTCATCTAAAAGGCAAGAACCAAAATAGTGTATGTATAACCTGTTAGTTAAGGACCTAGGCTCTTTAGCCCAATATCCTGCGTGGGGGTGGGGAGGTTGTCTCCGCTCTACCACTACTTGCTCTGTGTCTTCACAAGTCATTGCGTTACAAGTCATTTCTGAGTCTCAGTTTCTTCATTTGTACATGGGGGCTGCTCCCTCTCAGATGGGCACAGGGCCCAGCTCTCCATGTACACCATGTTATCTCATCCTCCCGTTGGCTCTGGAAGCTGACACTGCTACTCCTTTCCAGAAGAGGAATGGAAGTGACTCACTCAGGTCACACTGCTAGGAAGTGGAGGAGCCACTTTTTTTCTGGAGTTAATGCCAGATCTGTGTAATTCCAAGACCCAACCGCATGTCCATTTCTTGTCTTCCTGTCCTGTTTTTTCATGTCCCCTGTGAAGTGGAAACACCCCAACCACCTGGAGAGTTCTTCCTCCTCCTCTTTCTCCTCCTCTTTCTCCTCCTCCTCCTCCTCCTCTTCCTCCTCCTCCTC